ACACTTAAATATTGTGTAGAATTTTGAATTGAAAAATTTGAATATTTGAGTCCTTTGTAACTTTGTTTGCCAGTAGAAAATACCATTTTATCTCCTGCTCAGCTATGAATTGTTTTATTTTAAACAAAGAGGTGGGTGCTTCGAATTCTCTCTGATTTAATATTGCATATGCCTTTTTACATGTTACATTCTCAACAGACACCGACTTTTGCTCACTACTTGCATTATTTGAATCACTTGGTTTTCTTAAAATATCTTTCCATTTTATTGGTATTGCCATTTTTATGCTGTTGTATTCCATATCTTTTATCTTTAACTTATATGATTGTTCTATTTCATTTTTCTCAATAAACTGACCATTCATATCGACGAGATGTTTTATTTTATTAATGGACTTTGCATTCCACTGTTTGTAAAAAACTGGTTTATTTCCTATCAGGATGTTCCTGTTATTCCAAATTATTTGCTCTTTGACACTTGCTTTGTCAGTTGGTACTTTTTGGTCTACAATTATACTCCATGTTTTTAAAATTTCTTGATAAAAGGTTGAAACATTTGATAAATCTAATGATTTATAATCATAATTTGATTCAAATATGATGTTGGTTCCAAAATTAGCAAACATTATGTTGGGTATGGTTTTCCACAGCCCTGCCTCTTTGTTGGTCAGTCTTTTTACCCATGCTGCTTTTAGGGCTTGATCCGTGAGCTTGAATTTAACCATTTTTAGCCCTCCATCACAAATATTTCCAATTAAAGTTTTCTTCTTGATTTTAGGAGGTTTATTCCTCCAAATAAATTTTTGAATAACATCATCAATTTCCTTAATATATTTCTCTGGAATCACTGAAGTTGCTGAAATATAAGTAAGCTGGGATATACCAATAGATTTGACTAAAAGAATTCTGCCTTTTATACTTAGATCTCTTCCATTCCATGTATTAAGTTTTGACTTCATCACTTGTATTTTATCTAAAATGTTATTTTTGATGTGAATTTGTTCATTATATGTAAAACAATATCCAAGGGCTTTAGCTTGTTTAACTGTTTTTAAGTCATTGATACTATCATTTTTGTTTTTTGCATTTCCTATCCACATCAGCTCAGTTTTATTTTTGTTCAATTTAAGGCCAGAACAAAAAGATTTTCATTATTTCTGTAACAGATTCTTCATTCTTAAGTATAACTGTAACATCATCGGCGTACTGACATGCCTTTATTTCCTGATCTTGAATTGTAACACCCTGAACATTTGTATTTCGTTTCACTGCAAGGCAGAGAATCTCAATGACCATTATAAAAAGTAATCCTGACAGGGGGTCTTTTGCACAATGATCTGTATCCTTTTCTAATGTCATGCTTTATATTTAGGCCATTTCTGCACTAACAGCTTTTGAGGAGCAATTTCAAAAGAAGCCTAGCAACAAGCACCACAGTCATCATATCATCAGATAGATCCATAGACACTAACATGGAGCATGGTAATACAAAGGTGGCTAACATGCAACATGGGCTTCCAAAAGCAAGGATAATATTGACTAGGTGTGACCAAGTGAGAGGTGAGTTTGTATTCATCATGGAATACAATTTTTGAAACTTGAATCCAGTTCTCATTTTAAAAATCAATTTCTGGCTGTCATGATAAGTTTAAAATGCAGGGCCCTAAAATGATTGGTATCAATATGGTGAACTTTTTGAACACATGTTTCTCTTAAACAAGTCATCAAAAAAATCTGAAAATTTTACAAATCATCAATTTAATGATCATCTTTTGAATGGTGACAATTTAATTTGAAAAATGTATACTTTTCTCTATATTGCTTTAGAAAATACATCAGACACTTCTTGTTCTTGGTATCATCAGTAATGGAGATAGGCAGTCGCCAAATCGCCAATGCGAGAATAACCATGACTTAGTCGAGAATACGGCCAAAACATGTTGCCTTGTAGTCGAGATTGAATCCTATTCTTGATACCTGTCAGTTCAATTTGAGTATGGTCCAGTTATGAGGCCCAACACTTAGATTTAAGGGATATTTTTACCAAGTTACTTTTGTCAGTTTGTTATCTTGTGCTTGTAGTTAACACGCGAATCTAGCTTCGCAAATCAGTTGCGCACATCCCGGGTCAATTTGTTATGACGAATCACTCATAGGTTATGTCATCACGTGATTTCCAGGTCCGTATATGGTAAGGAGGGTTGGCCTTTGTCTTTATGATTGACATGGCCGCTATGCATTAAGAAGTACGAACGGTTGTCTCATTTGTAAATAAATGCGAACGGTTTATACTATTTGCACTAAATGCCTCAGAACGAACTTTACACTGTAAGAGGGATATTGTATATTTATTTCATAGCAATAAAATTGTTTATTATGATTTATTTAGAAATTACCAGTGATTGACGATACAATAGATTCTCTACAAAAATACGAACATCAACACTCTAAATCGTTCGTAGTTTTCATGTATCAAAACAACCATCGATGAATCAAAAAAATATATTCAAATTTCAATTTTATCCTGATTTTATTGCATATTACCATGCATTAAACGTATATACACAATAGCATTTAATGCAGATATGTTCAATTGATTGAAAGCATATTAATATTCCACACCAGAAAGATGAATATTTGTTGTTTAGTAGCGGGAGTAGACAAAATATTTTTCAACTTCAGGCTGACTCCGAGTCCATTTTTGAACATACGATTCAATTGATTTAATATTCTTTTGAACTCATCTAAAATGGATTCGATTCACCAATTGTTTAAAATCGATGGGATCACTAATGATTGCTGTATTTCCCGGGGGATACTGGTCTACTTTTTGTATAGGTCGGGGGTGCCTCTGAGAGGTTCACCCACTTCAGTAGGGTTTTTATTCAAAAAAGGAGACCCACAAGTAGGGATTTCTCAATGAAAAAGCAACCCACTTCATCCCCCATATAGCCATTATACAGAAGTACCCCCTGGGCTGTATTTACAGTGTATGTGTACTAGGGAAAGAAAGGTCCAGAATCCTGTATCTTTAGAATCAACTAAAAGTAAAAAAGACCCGGTGTTAAACAAGAGGAACATTACATGTATATCATAACTGAGTTTTCTTATTAAGCTCATATATTCTCTAGTAGTCTTATTGTGTTATTTATGACATATTCACAATTGAATAACATTTAATTCATATAGCGTTATTAAAATTTAATACATACAGCAGTATTCAAATTGTCTAGTATTATTTCCTGCTAGTCAAGTATAAAATCATACCAAACTTGCCCATTTCAGTCTGGTATAGCAACTTTGTAGGCGAGAAAAAAATGAAGCTTACTTGCCTATAGTAGTCTAGTATTAAAAAAAACGTGTCTCCATGACTGTATCATATGTCGGGAATATAATGAAACATCTATCTGAACCTCATTTGAACAAAATCAAAAAAGAATCTTGTTAATGAAATAAAAGGTTTATTTTAATTTTTATCTATTCGTTTTTTTTTGAAAAATGTTGTATATGCTATTTTGGTCCAACAAGGTTCGGAAGGATATTTTATTTCATTCTCAAGAATTGATAGAAAGGAAAAAACAATTGCACTAGAAAAAAAATGTTAACAAAAACAGTTATATAAAATATATATAAATAATCAAATTGTTGTCAATCAGTCAATATTACATAAAGGACCGTGTTTTTTACAGAATGTTTTCAATAATTGGTTTAAGAGAAAAGCATTGTTGAATTTAGTTCACCATATCGATACCAATCCTTTCCAATTTTCAACATGATATACTGTATCATGAAACAACTTGAAATCTCAAATTTTACCCTCTATTATCTTGAAAACATGTTTTAAGATAGTAAAGGATCAATACTGAAACTCTGTCATGGTTGAATTCTTTAATACTTAAAATTTGACCTTCACTTAAAACGCAATATGTGAACATATTTTATTTTTACATTATTCATACAACAGACAATATTAGTAATACTATGAGAACTTTTTTTTGCATAATAAAAAAGCGCAAATGTAGTGTTAAAAAAAGTTGAACCAGGGATTGAACCACAGTCTTCGTCTTGGTCAGCAAGAATTCCCTACCCTAGAGCAGCAATCTAATCATGTCAATTAAGAGTAATTCTACGCTACTTATTCCAGTGTTCTTATTTAGAAGCCGAATGATCACTCCGAACCAAGAAATGTTTTGGAAATAATTCACAATCAAAGGAACAACACTCAAAATGAAATTTCCCCATTTGTTCATCATTGTTTATTTTCTCAAAATATCATATCACTACCTCCCTCGGAACAACTTACAATGTTTCTATCGAGAGGTCATTGACAGCCTTAAACATAATATTTTCTGATAATTTTGCTTTTGCAGAGTCACGCTTTTAGGCTTTTACTATTGTTGCTTTATGTATTTTTATCACTTTTTCACTTTAAGGGATTGTCGGGAAAAAGTTTGAGGCATGCAATGAAGAAAAGATTGAAGGGAAGAACAAATGGAAAAAGAAAAAGGAAGAACAAAGGAAATGGAAGGAAACAAATGGAATCCCATTCCAAACAGCATCATCTTCCAAGGCCAACTCTTCTACTGAGTTGGAATCAGTCATAAATCCACCTTTAAATGATGGAAGTGTTTGTATACTTGAACTCATAAAACAGGAAGACATTGATGGATCTACCAATGTGGTTAAGGTTGATGTCAACCAGGACAATGTTTTTAATAGTAACACACCAACAATATATCAAAATAAAAAAACAAACAAGGCTTTAACCAAACCAACAAAGAATATGAGAGGTAGAAAGAAGGTCAACATCATTAAATGTGATGTTTGTTCAAAAATGTATAAAAGCAAATATGAACTTGTAGTACATATGAGAACTCATACAGGTGAGAAACCATTTAAATGTAATATCTGCTTAAAAGCATTTTCAGTAAACTCATATCTAACTATACATAAGCGCATACACACTGGTGAAAGACCACACAAATGTGATGTCTGCTTGAAGGCATTTTCACGAAGGTGTCATCTTGTGAGACACAATCGCATACACACTGGTGAAAGAGCATATAAATGTGATGTCTGCTGTAAGGTATTTTCAGATAAATCATCTTTGATTATACACAATCGCACACACACTGGTGAAAGAGCATATAAATGTGATGTATGCTCGAGGGCATTTTCACGAAGGATTACTCTTGTGAGACACAATCGCACACACACTGGTGAAAGACCATTTAAATGTGATGTATGCTCGAGGGCATTTTCACTAAGGAGTAATCTTGTGATACACAATCGCACACACACTGGTGACAGACCATATAAATGTGATGTTTGTTCTAAGGTATTTTCATATAAATCATCTCTAACTATGCATTATCGCATACACACTGGTGAAAGACCATATCAGTGTGAAATCTGCTCCAAGGTATTTTCACAGACTTCAACTCTAACTAAACACAAACGCATACACACTGTGAAACACAATCTCATACACACTGGTAAAAGACCATATAAATGTGATGTCTGCTCGAGTGCATTTCATGAAAAATCAGCTCTTGTGAAGCACAATCGCATACACACTGGTGAAAGACCATATAGATGCAATGTCTGCATGAGATCATTTTCACATAACTCATCTCTTACTAAACACAATCGCATACACACTGGTGAAAGACCATATAAATGTGATGTCTGCTTGAGTGCATTTCATGTAAAATCAGCTCTTGTGAGTCACAAACGGATACACACTGGTGAAAGACCATATAGATGCAATGTCTGCATGAGATCATTTTCACATAACTCATCTCTTACTAAACACAATCGCATACACACTGGTGAAAGACCATATAAATGTGATGTCTGCATGAGATCATTTTCAAGAAACTCATCCCTTACTATACATAAGCGCACACACACAGGTGAAACACCACACAAATGTGATGTCTGCTCAAAGGCATTTTCAAAAAGGTGTCATCTTGTGAGACACAAACGCGTACACACTGGTGAAAGACCATATCAGTGTGATTTCTGCGCTAAGGCATTTTCAGTAAAGAGTAATCTTGCTCAACACAAGCGCATACATACTGGTGAAAGACCATATAGATGCAATGTCTGCATGAGATCATTTTCACATAACTCATCTCTTACTAAACACAATCGCATACACACTGGTGAAAGACCATATAAATGTGATGTCTGCATGAGATCATTTTCAAGAAACTCATCCCTTACTATACATAAGCGCACACACACAGGTGAAACACCACACAAATGTGATGTCTGCTCAAAGGCATTTTCAAAAAGGTGTCATCTTGTGAGACACAAACGCGTACACACTGGTGAAAGACCATATCAGTGTGATTTCTGCGCTAAGGCATTTTCAGTAAAGAGTAATCTTGCTCAACACAAGCGCATACATACTGGTGAAAATGAGTTTAATTGTGATATTTGTCACAAAGCATTTTCACGGAAATCCTACCTTTTTGATCACAATTTCATACATACTGGTGAAATACCATATAAATGTGATGTGTGCTCTAAGGCATTTTCAACAAGTCATAATCTTGTCAAACACAAGCATATACATACTGGTGAAAGACCATATAAATGTGATGTCTGCTCAAGAGCATTTTATGCAAAATCAGATCTAACTATACACAATCTCAAACACACTGATGAAAGACCATATAAATGTGATGTCTGCTCGAGAGCATTTCATGCAGAATCAGATCTAACTGACACAATTGCAAACATACAGGTGAAAGACCATATAAATGTGATATCTGCGTGAGATCATTTACACTAAACTCATCCCTAACTGAACACAATCGCATACACACTGGGGAAAGACCATCTAAATGTGATGTCTGCTCTAAAGCATTTGTACAAAGGTATAATCTTGTCCGACACAATCTCAAACACACTGATGAAAGAGCATATAAATGTGATGTCTGCCCTAGGGGGTTTCATGCAAAATCAAATCTTATGACACATAATTGAATACACACAGGTGAAAGACCGTATAAATGTGATATCTGCTTGAAAGCATTCTCGGTTAAATCATCTTTAACTCAACACAATCGCATACACACTGGTAAAAGACCATATAAATGTGATGTCAGCTCAAGTGCCTTTCATAAAAAATCAGATCTAACTAGACACAATCGCATACACACTGGTGAAAGACAGTATATATGTGAAATCTGCTTTAAGGCATTTTCACAAAGTGGTACTCTTGCTCAACACAAACACATACATACTGGTGAAAAGAAATCTAAATGAAATATTTGCTTTAAATTATATTCAGAAAACTCATCACTTACAGAACACAAATGAATACATACTGGAGAAAGACCATCTAAATATGAAATCTGCTCTATGGCATTTTCACAAAGTGGTAATCTTGCTCAACACAAACACATACATACTGGTGAAATGAAATCTAAATGAAATATTTGCTTTAAATTATATTCAGAAAACTCATCACTTACACAACACAAATGAATACATACTGGAGAAAGACCATCTAAATATGAAATCTGCTCTATGGCATTTTCACAAAGTGGTAATCTTGCTCAAGACAAACACATACGTACTGGTAAAAAAGAAATTCGAATGAAATATTTGCTTTTAAAAAACATATTCAGAAAATTCATCTCTAACTGAACAAAAAAAATACATACTGGTGAAAATCATTTAGATTTGGTGTATGCTCTTTAGCATTTTTATGTAACTCACCCCTTGTTTCTCATTGCCTCAAACATACTGGCAAAATAAAACAGTTTAAAATATCAGCTTTAAAGGCATTGTCATACAAGTTAGTATAACTATCAATCAATATGGTTTTGTTTGAGTTTTATGTTAAAAATTGTCTGATATTATGGCTCAAAGACAAAATTCATGTTGATATTAAAAATTGTCCATTGCTAACAGTTAAGGATCAAAGAATATTTTCATGTTTAATGTTAGAAACAGTCTGATATTAACACTCAATAAATACATGTATGTTTTATGTTAACAACTGTCTCATACAGGGTGTCCCGAAAGTATGCACCCCCCCCCCTAGGCAGACATATTCCAGTGTCCTCATAGTATGTGTCATATATCATTTTAAAGTTTATCCAAAGTTACATTGATTTGCCAAGTATCATGGTTTGACTCCCAAATGGGAAAAAGTTACAGTCATTTTAAAAGTTAGTGTTTTGTCAAAATAAAGTTCAATTTTACACCACATTACTAGTCAATGAGTCCCCCCTTGGCCATGTTAACAGCAGCAATTATTTTCAGATATGACCTTAAAAGTCCTTTAAATAGGGGTGTGGAATTTTATAACCCTCTTAAAACTTGTTAAGGCCCTTAGAAGAGTTTCCTTAGAGTTTCTACCCTCACCGTTCTCTTTTTCGACTCTTTAGATGTCATATCATGACATATTAGTCACTGAGGTAGAGCAGTTCTTCCCATTGTAGAGTTGAAGAACTGGTATCTTTATCCTGGCTAGAACCATAGACAATTCTAGCCAGCGCCAGCCTTTTATCGAGTTAGCAGCACTCTAGTAATCGCCGGTATAGGTCAGTAGTCATAGGTAAGATGGCCCGGAAGGACACATTGACTAGTGATTTGGTATAAAATTGAACTTAATTTTGACCAAACACTAAATTTTGAAATGCCTGTAATTTTTTACATTTAAGAGTTGAACCATGATACTTGGTGAATCAATGTAACTTTGGTTAAGTTTTAAAATGATAAATGACATATACTATGACGACACTGGTATATGTCTGGCTAGGGGGGGGGGCATACTTTCGCGACACCCTGTATTTAAGAAGAAAGAATATGTTCATGTTTAATATTAGAAACTGTCTGATATTAATGATCAATAAATGAATGTATGTTTAATGTTAATAACTGTCCCATATTAAAGATGAAAGAATATACTTATGTTTCACGTTAGAAACTGTCTGATATGAAAGATCAATTAATGTTTGAATTTTGTCGCTAAGGGTTCAAAAATGTTTGAAATTTTTTTTAAATCAAATTTTTAAAATACATTTTCCTCTGAGTCACTTTCATGCATGGTTGACATCATTTCTCTTTTATTTAGCAACCAATTTTTTTCATCGTTTTTTGAAAGAAATTTCATGTATCACATTTTGATAACATTGGGTAAGGCTTCAATATATACCAAATTATTTGCATTTCCAAATGCTCCCTGAACCAGTTCATAAGTCTCTTGCAAAGTCTCGCCATTTTGAACCATGCACTGTATCAGATTTCTATGCTTCCATTTCATCAATTTGGTTGGTGTGGAAACATCTGCCATTTTGAAAATTTTGGAAAAAAAATTCAAAATTTCCTCACTTTTCCATCAATTTTTCATGGTACCCACCACTCTGGTTACCATAGCAACCATATCTCAAGAACCAATCAAAATTGAGCTCCCAAATTTTAACATATAATGTATAAATGTATAACACATATGTGTACCAAGTTTTATTGTAAAAGTCCTATTTAACTTGAAGTTATGGCATCAACTGCAAAACTTTTTGAACCACCTAAGTAGCTTACATGCTTTCAATAGCGTTTCAGCCCGATTGATTCCACATTCAATTGCAAGTGATATTATATCTTTGCAAAATTTATGAGAATTAATCATGCAAAAATTGACTCAACATAAGAGCGAATGACTCCCTTTTGAGAGCCAGGGTTTCATTTTTATAAACAAAATCATATTTCGCGGCAAATTGTTTCAACCACACACGTCATGTCAGGTGACGTAAAATTTCTGCTCTGAAAATGAAATTAGTTTTGCCGCGAAAACAGACATGTGCTGACTTTATATCCCCGATATCATAATAAAATGAACTTTTGGAACTGTTGATGGTCTCATATTAAAGATCAAATATTACATAAATTTTTATATTATAAACTGTCTCATATTAAAGATCAAAGAATATATTTATGCTAAATGTTAGACGCTGTATCATATTAAAAACAAAGAAAATATTTATGTTTGATGTGAGGAAGTGCATCATATTACAAAAATCAAATATCATATTTATGTTTAATGTTAGAAACTGCATCAAAGATCAAAGAATACAGGGCCCTGTATACTAATGTTTGATATTAAAGAATATTTATGTTTAATTCTAGAAACTGTCCTATGTTAAGGATCAAAAGATACATTGACGTTAATATTAGAAACTGTCCCATGTTCAGGATTATATTAGTTAAGATTATATTTTTGTTTAATGTTAGAAACTGTCTCATTAAAGGATTAAAGCTTATGATTAATTTAAAGCTTAAGTGTGAAGTCTTTAAACTGTGTGATATCAAAATCCACTTGAAGATCTGAAGACAAATTGGCTTCCCTAAGTGAAAGACTGATATAAATACTTGTTCCAGTCTCGTTGAAGTCATAACTGATCTGACTTGCCTAGCAATCACATAAACTCTAAACGCAAGTAAAATGGATTCCTCAGCGATGATAAAATCTGATGTCTGCAGAGCGGCAGAAGAAACACACCACATTGATCTGGATCAAGTGGCTGAACAACTCGATGTTGCATACAGAAAGTTTATAAGGGCATGCAATCAGGTACTCTTGATTGACGACAAAGTAAAGATGGTGGAGGTACGATACAACAGAGCTAAGAAGAACCACAAAGAGGCACATCTCTACTCTCTGCATCTACAGCTAAATATACTGAATAACACAAAGATGATGTACTACCACTATGCAACTGAGATGGCTGCTGTAGTAGAGGAGCTCAAGAGCAAAGTTGAACAGATGTAGATTCAGAAGGCAGAATTCTCTCTCCATCCTGATGAAGAAGATTAAACAACGCTAGCAAGCAGCAGCAATCAACATCTGGATTCAAGAATTTCATCCAATATTCTTTTCTACTAGTGCACTGCTACATGACAGGATTAAGTGCAACTTCGTCAAACGGTCCTTTTCAGGACCATCAAATTCTTTACAAAAGAGATATTTGATGATGAATATCAGCTGCCAAGTCTCTGTCAGAACACTGATATTACCAAAACATTAAAAACACATGCAAAATGTCACCATCTGCTATTTGTTACAGAAGCTGAAGGCTGAACATCTGCTCAATCCGAACACCATCAACTGAACACCTTTAAGAAACAAGACACACAGTGATAAATATCGCACTTTGAAGAGCAAACTGGCCACCATGCAATTTACCCAGCATGGCCAAAACCTAATCAGACCTTGGCACTAGTCTGCTCTTGCATCTGTAAACATTTCAAGTTGACAAGGTTAGCGGTTTTCCTGCAATTTTGATGACAAGAATTTATTTGTAGTCTTGAACTTTGGGAAAATTTAGATAACATTGTTTGTGACCTAATTTGATGACCTTCGACTTCGAAAATTTCACTTTTTCAGACCTCAGTAGGTATTTTGTAATTAAGCTGACCTAAATTTAAATCTAAAATATCAATTTAGAAAATCAAATTTTGACCTTTTCAAGGTCACTGAAGGTCAACGAAAGGTCAAATCTGAAATCTAAGGTCAGATTTGAACTTCTGAGAACTTGTTGATGTTTTTAAAAAAAAATTTGGTCAATTTGGAGCAAGTTGAAAAATTCAAAATGGCCGCCAAATTGAAAAATTCAAAATGGCCACCATGTAATTCAGCCAGCATACCCAAAACCTAATCAGATCTTGGCAATAGTCTGCTCTTGCATCTGTAAAAATTTCAAGTTGAACGGATAAGTAGTTTTCCTGGAATTTTGATGACAAGATTTGTTGAAAAATTCAAAATGGCCACCACGTAGTTTACCCAGCATGCCCTTAACCTAATCAGATCTTGGTACTAGTCTGCTCTTGCATCTATAAAAATTTCAAGTTGAACAGGTAAGCAGTTATCCTGGAAATTTGATGACAAGATTTGGTTTATGTGCCGCACGCCCGCCCGCCCAACAGCACAAGACGACGACAATATAGCACTTTTTCAAAGTGCGATAAAAAACTGGAGACAATAAGCAATATGTCACCACTTCTGGTGGTGACATAACAAAAAAGTCACTATCTATTCTCTAGATGGAACCAATGATCTCTCCATCCTGGGTTCCTGACTAATGTTAAAACGTGATTGCAACAATTAAACATATTGGCATGCAATTAATCCATTATCCATTACAAGGCAACCAGTTTTCAAGTATAATGACATGACTTGGCTCCATGGCGTAAGGGATAAGGCATCTAACTTCTAATACCAAGGTCCAGGGTTCAATTCCAGGCTTTCGCATGGATATCAGACTCATCAAATGATACACCAGGGGAGGCATTGACAGTCAGCCATCTGGCTCCTGAGCAGGGAGGCAACCAGTCACTTGATCCAGTCGAGTATTTGAAAATACTCGAACCTTACTGCAAATCTGTTTGCAACCAAACTATGCACTTCGCTTTCTTGTATATGTAACATGTACATGTAATATGTATGTATGTATGTATTATTTGTATTGTCTGCCTAAATGAAAGAGCGTTTTTTTGGTTAAGAACATATGCGTGTGATTATTTAAATATTGTACTTACATTGAGGCGAAGCACTGTGTTGAGATCTCCATGAGGAACTTTGTAGCGCTACAGCTCATCCAAAACTGCAGTTGTTCATTGAGGCTGTTTGAAGAGTGCTGGATGGCGCGTTTGGATGCATATTTACTGCTTATACCTCCTAGTAGTTCTATCGCCCACTGAATATACAAAAAAAAATGATCAACTTCTTAATAAGATTTTTTGATCAACAAGGCATTTATGTGCAAAATGTCACCACCTGCCATTTGTTACAAATGATGACAACCGAACTCTGACCACAAATGCCAAACACAACTGAATGCTGAACACCAACTGCCAAACACCATCCACATTTGGAGACTATAACAATATGTCACCATATGCAGGGCTCTCACCAGGAAATATTAAGGATGTGGTGCTAACATCTTCAGTATAACAATTCAATCGTGATAAATCATATTTATGTTATGTTTTATCCTTTTTACATGCTATTATTGTATATTCAGTCAAGTTTAGACTGGAAACAGTCATGATTTGCCAATAGGGTGTGGAGGGAGCTAAATAGAGTGTGGTGCTGCGCCACAGTCTAAAAGCCTGGCGAGAGCCCTGATGTGTGTTATCAATAGTTAAAGACCATCTATCATCCTCTGAATACAGGGCTCCAGACATGGAAGGAATAAAGGAGCCCTGTGATGGTAAGGTAGGACCAGTTACACATGCAGGCTATCAAAAGGACCCTGGATAACAAGTTGCTACTACAGTCTCAGCACTTATGGCTCAGGGGTAGATCTTCAGACTCTGCAACAAAGGACCTGAGTTCGATTTAGGCACGGACAATAAATTTGACACACATCCTTTTATGTCCAGCATTTGGCTTGTTACACTACAGCTCCCCGGACCAGCGTCCTTAGGATCGTTACACTATTGATTACCAGAAATCTTAAATGTCAAATAACAAAGAGAGTGACTGTGACTTTCTGCATGACATGATTGAAATCTTCACGTGTCTGAATTACAATGAGTACTGAAGTTTTGCAAAACAGGATATAGCAAAAACATATCTGCAACCACATCTCGTTTCAATTGTACTACCCATAAATCTGGTGAATGCGTCACAGATTTAAGATATGTTGAGCTAAAAAACATCATGCGAAACCTATCTAATATTGGTGATACTGTAATACACTTATTTTGACGCTACTTAATTTGACGGATTTGATCAATTTCAAATATTGGTGGCTATGGCGGATTCAGGGCTGAAGTTTTAATTTTTGTAGATGTTTATAATGTCATAAGTACAGGTGTTTACTGAGATATTTTCTGTATTTCTTTTGGAATACTGTAGAATTAATGACATGTTGACAGGAAAAGGGGCCCCTTGAGTTTAATTTCTTAAAAGCAAATTCCAAACTGAAATTTCACAGATTTTTTTAATCTGGCAAATTTTCTGAATCCACCAATCCGTCAAATTAAAAAGGGAGCCAAATTAAGTGTATCTACAGTGAATGATACTTACAGTTGAGATTATGGGTGCCCAGTGTAAAGGAGAGGATTTAATATATGAGAGAAGCACTTCATGGATATCTTGGAGTATCGCCTCTTCATTCTCAGTGTTGGTTTCTGGAAAGGAAATAAAAATAACACCAAAGCATTAACATGCAAAATGACACTGCCTGCCATTTGTTACAGATGCCGAATGCCAGATGCAAACCACCGTCAAAAAAAGATGGAGCCAATAACAATATGTCACTGCTTTTGGTAGTGACATAAAAATCAACAAACAACTCCATTAGTTGTGATCCAAAGATTTTTATGATTATACCAAAAATTCTTGTCAATCAAGAATGCTAGAACCTGTATATCTGAAAACCTCTCAAAGTGGACACCTTTTTCTCAGTCCCAATTTTGAAATCTTTCATTGACTCACACATTAAAAATCATTAGATTTTCAAAAGATGTCATTGTACTAGACCTGTGTCTCAATATGAAATTCTATCATGAGGAAAATCATGAATTGTCACAAATGATACTTAGGAACCAAAGCACATTTTTTTCAAAACTGGTATATTATCAATATTTTCATCATCCCTATTCAATATACAAGACTTTAATATAAAAATGATATTTTTAGTTAGTAATTAGAGGTTATGCCACTATCGTGGCATATATGCCCGAGGTCTCAGTGATATATGGCCCGACCTTGGGAGGGACATTGATCTCTGAGAACCGAGGGCATATGTGCCACGATAGTGACATAAACGATTTATAACATACCTATGATGATGTAGACTGGTCAGAGAGTACCGTTTTCTTATAGAATTGACAAACAAATGGTTTGAAAATGCTTGAAATGAGTTTAGAAAAATTGCTCGCACAGTTTTATCTTCGATTGATTGGTTATGACGTCAGCGCCTTGACCAATCAGAAAGTTAGCGGGCGCAGGCTTTTCAAAACTTATATTGGCCCGCTGTCTTGTGTACACTTTGCACTATACATCATCATAGGTATGTTATAATGTTGTCTATTGATCTGTTACACTTACCGGTAACAGATGAACCAAGCTCTAACTGTATAAAATGCCTGTTCACTGCTTCATCCAAGACGCCACTAAGGTGCTCCAATACACCATGTCTAGCTGATGGTACGGTACGCAACAGATAGAGGGCGCATGTTGTAACATCATTACTGCTCAATTTGGAACCAGTACTCTCATCTGATCCTGTCACAAACTTATGGATCTCATTCCCAATTACCTACATACAAGTAAAATAAAATTCAATTTTGCACAATGTAAGATATGTTACAACCAGTTGAACCTAAGAATTAAGAAATTTAAAGATTATTGAGTATTCGAACATGACTGTATTCACACCTTCTTTAAACTGTAAACAAAGTCAACATTCCACCTGGGGCATATTTGCGAAGAATAACGCTGGTAATACGTGTAATGTGTGACATCATAACAGTGGGACGTAGTAATGGCGGACCATAATGAATATTCAAAACATTTTGGTGAGTTTTCATGTTCGAATTGGAATATAGACCTCGGAGCTAATATCATTAAATACACCCCTTAGGGCTAGGCACATTTTTAAAGGATTTCGAACAGAAAATGTTTGTGCCTAGCCCTGAGGGTGTATTCGAAAACATTACCCCTGCTCTTCGGTCTATATTTCTTAAATAATATATGGAAAAATACCCTTTGCATTCGTTCGACTTCACTTCTCAAAAGAGAGCTTCGTCTTCACTCTTTCAATTTTCAATACTTATAAATTGACAAAAGTAACTCTGACTGGGCGATAATTGGTTTAGAATGAGGCCTGCGAGTTTTAGAATTATCTAAAGACGCAGTTCCTGCCAAAATAATCACCTAAATTCCACTTGACTAGAATAACTGGATATTATCAATTAAATAACTGTTCAATTCTCACCTTGGGCACCGGATTTAAAGCCATGTATCAGGTTTTATTGAATCCCGGCAAAATTTTACAAACTCTTTCTGACGCCTAACGAGGCTCAGCTTTTGTGCTTAAAAAACTTCCGGTTGAAATCTTTTTGAAATTATCTGCTGCGTTTTTGGCATTTTTTCCACCGAAAAAAGTATTTGGAAGTTCTTAAAAAGGGATAGCATGTGAAAGTACAGCGTAGATCTTGCCTGACCCCAGAAACCGGAGTTTTATCCGACGGAACACTGACGCTCGGAACGAAGTGAAGGTGAATATTTTTGACATTCAAAATCATCTGATGATGAAAGTCAGTTTTCTTTTTCTTAAGTCCATATATTTTTTAATCCTAGGTCTACTAGAGGAGCTTAATATCATCGAAAACTATGTAGAATTTGAAAAATATATTTATATTTGCAATGTTGTTTTGATTTACTCGAGTCTCTAGCTTACAGCTAGACGAAACTTCATTGATTTCGTATGTACTGTGCTACACGCACCTACACGCACCTACACGCACCTAGAACTCATTTTTAATAAATTTTATAAATATTTTTAAGAATATTAATCATATTTAGGATGGAGCGTTGCTTGTCTGGATTTAGATATTTCAAAATTTCATTTCGGAGTTTTGACACATGGTGAAATTTTCTCGCTGTAGCTAAAAATGGCTTCCGGTTCTGGACGTGAATAACATTTGAAATTATTCTCGCTTAAAGAAATCAAATATAACAATAGATTCAGACGGGGATGTGAGCTGATGTTCTTCAAATCTATACATAAAGGTATATTTCATATTATTATGCCATATTTACTGTGCGTGTGACACAATGATTTACAATATTTATAATACTAAGGCAGCTCAATCTTCCTCCTCAAAGCCGGAATATAGAGAAGGCTTTGGACCGAAGTAAGTTTTGATGTGTCATACAGACCATGAATGATGCATGTTCAGTTTTCAGGAGTAAATATCAATGTACATGTACATGTCAGTAGACCCTAGATCTAGACGTCTACCCGATTCCTCCTGTTGATCTTCTACACAAAATCTTTGGGAAATTATTATTTTCTTTGACTGTAGAGTCAGTTTTAATTAATATACATTAGTATTATGTCATACCTCAAAAGATACGTAGGGGAAAGTGTCCTTATTATCGCATGATTGTCCTAAATAGCTAAAATATGCTTTGTACATCTTTTAAATCAGTGTTTATAACACCAGCTCAACACCATTACTCCTGATCTTCATTATTTATTTAACGTATACATAAAAATATTGGGCGAGACTTGAGATAATGTATGCGGCGCCAGTCAAAATTGAAACTTCTGATTGGGTTCGAAGCCGAGATGCCCGGATATGACCCAGCAAAAGCCGGAATTCACGTGATTTTTCACGGAGAAGGGGCGGAGTTTAAGCGAGATCCATCGAGACTTCTCCATTTAAGGAAAGTGTCAGTCCGCTTATAACTCCGCCTTTTTGCCCTTAATGGAGAATGCCATTTTTGAAGGGGTCCTTCTTAGGGGAGATGTTCATCGGTTTTTCCTAGAATTTGAACGTTTATGGAGTTATTTCAACCATTCTTTGTCAGTGTACACCTCTCGCCAATATTCATCTTAATAACCTATTGCCGAGTAATTTATTTTTTTGATTTGACAAAAATTCGATCAGAAACTACCTATTACGAAAAACTCCAGTGACATATTTTAGCTAGGCTTGGTCCAAGGGGCCCGTCTTAAGTGCGTGTTGAATTAAATGGAGCCCGGGTGTCGTAGTGATGAGTTTGAATTATGTCGATTATTCGATTGTTATATATAAATAAACATCGATCTTCGGCGAAGAAAAGTAAGAACAACATATATATCCGAGAAACATGTTGGTAAGTACAGTATTTCATTTATAATGGCAGAAAATCAAATTGAATCGAAATCGAATTTTCAACTTTTTCAATTTTTTTTCGTTCGATTATTTTGATTTTTACATTCTATCTTCTTCGTCCTGCGGGACTATACTAGGCATAGGCCCGAAACATGTATAACATTAAGTCAAATTCACTTATAGAACATGCTGTAAGCTTTATTTCTTTACATTTTTACGGGCCTATGCCTGGGCTATGACTCTAGGCCTAGACTACTAGATCTATAGGACTTAGACTAGCCTAAAGCTAGAGCCTTAGATCTAGCTCTTTCAGAGGCTGTGACTGATATGTTAGAACAGCCTTTAGAGCCCCCTATCAACCGCTTCAAAATTGTGTTAGTGTCCTCCTTGCGAAAATCGAAAAAAATTAAAAGGTGCTTCTGTGCCGAACAGCAAATTTCATTATACATTGAGAAGATACTCTTTATCAAGAAACCAAAAATGGAAGTTTTAACGGAAAGACATGACGTACAAGTCAAAATCTCTGAATCTTGCTAGGTACATGACAGATAAAAAGAATTTAAATCCTGATCGACAAAGAAGCGGCTAATAACTTACATATTTTCTCAACAAAAAGCACTGATGTAGCTCACATTGGGAGATAGTAGTAAGCACTTGAAGTTGATTTCAGTAGATCAGTTACACCTGTCATGATTTCAAGGAAAGACACAAAGTATCCGTCAAAAGAGAAAAGCTTACATAAATGCGAGCAAAATCTGTAGATTTATTATAGCTATTGACTTCTCGAATATGTTGAACGCACAACTCTAAACAATACTTGAAATTGAATTAAATTGACAAAATATGAGAAGACAGTCTAAAACCTAACTGGGAGAGCTGCCATTGTTTGCCCGGAAATCTTCAGAGATTTTGACTGGTACGTTGTGTCTTTCCATCAAAATTGCCATTTTGGTTTCTCGCTGGGTAATTCACAGATGAAGAGAAATCTTGATTGACAAAAATACAGCTGATAGCTAACAGCTTTTCTTAAACAGAAGATAAAGGAAGATATAAAGGAACCTGTTATGATTTTGAAGCGGGTGATAGCCGATAGGGGGCATGTTAAGGCTGTAAGTAGAGGGTGTAGCAATAAATCTAACCCAAATAGAGTTTAACACATCTCAGTATAGGCAAAATTAAAATTCATTAAAGTCCCCGTCTAAAGTTTGAAAATATTTTTTTATCATTCATTTACTATTTGTCAGGACTTAAAAAGTGGTTTTAGAGATTTTTGAACAAAAAAGTATTTTTGAAAAAAAAGTTGTGAGCATTTCATTTCTCAAATATTCAAATTTCCCGCCATTTTTCAAAAAAAGTTGAAATTTCTTAATCATCAAATATTTCTTAATGCATTTCAAAAAAGATTATCTTTTTAACACCAATGCAAAGGTTGAACAAAGGACACACTATTTCAATAATAAAATGCCATATTTAATGGGCCACTTCAATGTTTTAACATATCAAAAATATTTTGAAACATTAGTGATGTCACTAAGGTACCAAAAACTTTTTGAAAAAAATTGAAATTTTTTTTTCGATGTCAATCTTTTTTAAATATGTTAGACTTTCATAAAAAACAATGTTGATTGTCTAACCAGGTTAAAAGGAAGAATAAATTATGTTTTAGATATCATTGTACCATTGATTTCTATGAGAACTAAAATTTTGAAATGCATTTTTCTCAGAACCATTTTCATGCACTAATAAGTTCATTTCTCGCTTATTTATGAACCGATTTTCTTATTTTTTCGGCAAAAAACATGGGAGGATGAATGCTATGCATTGGTTTGAATTGTGGCTAATTAGAAGATATGAGTGACCTCTAAAAGTTGGTTTTAAATAAATTCACAAATTTTGGAACAACAAGTCTATCAAAAACCACTTTTTGAAATTTAAAAAAAAAGTTTCACATATCACACTTTGATAACATTGGGTAAGACTACAATATAAGCCAAAGTGGTTTAAACTTTATATGGGGCCTTTAAAGTTTCAACACTTTAGCATGTGTACATTTGCTGGCCTTCTAATATTTTGCCAATAGATTTGTTAGGCTTGATTGCAATATGAGTGTATGGTTTCAATGTACTGTACTCCCGATATTTTTCGCGTGCAATTTAGTTTCGTGCTTTTCGCGATTGTGTAAAAATCACGAAAATTAATAGTCGCGAATATCGCCAATTAAAGGCTGAGGTGCAACATGCCATTGACTAAGATCTAGAGATTGTAAATCTTATCCAAAGTATATGATATTGGGTAGGTGTAATTACTGTAGATAAGGTAAATTAATTTTGAGGATTCAGAGAATAATGGAAGTTAAACCTTTGATATCCGCAAAATTTAATGGCCGCAAAATTGGTATTTCTCAAAATTCATGAAATGAAAACTCGCAAATTAACCGGTAGTACAGTATTTGCATGTGGAATAATTATGATATTGAGAGCATTGATGAAACAAATGCAATGAACTGATTTGATTGGCCAAGGGAGCATTGGAATTTTGACCTGAAGTTCACATGATTGTTGCTATAGGCCTTATGATTTTTTGGAATTCCAGTAATACTATTAATGTCTATTATACTTATACAGTAAAACCTGTCTAATCCAAATGCCACCGCTACCAATTAAAAACATTCAGATTTAAACGTCTGATTTCGAGGTTTTTGCATCCGAAAGATTCTTGATTCTGAAAAAATATTAATGCATTTTCACTTAATATTACTTGCATTGTAGGCGTTATGATTTTTTGGAATTCCAGTAATACTATTATACTTATACAGTAATATCTGTCTAATACTTATACAATAATATCTATCTAATCCAAATGCCACCATGACCAGTTAAAACACCATGACCAGTTAAAAAAACAACATTCAAATGTGGAGGTGATCGGATTTCGAGGTTTTTGCATTCGCAAGATTCTGCATTTTAAAAATATTTATGCATTTTCACTAAAAAGTATTAAGATTACTTTTGACCGCATAGCTTTATGACATTCCAAAATCCAAATCGAATGCTTGAAAGGTAAAACAGAAGTGTGCAATCAGAGATGATAGATACTATTGCATGAGTATATGAAGGCCATGTGTCAACTCTTCGATTGATAATACGCCTCGAAATAAACACCCACTGGCTTGGGAAAGCTATTTTCCCTCTTAATAAATGCCTGTTCCCTTGGAAAAATGTTTTCAATTTCCCTCTTAGTCTTAATAAAAGCCTATGGCAAAATTTCAAAATTGCAAAATTGTGAAAGATAACAGCATCAAATATTAGTGGCAGTACAGTATTTGCATGTGAAATAATTATGATATATTAATATAATAATCTAATAATTGATGAAACAATTTCAATGAACTGTTTTGATTAGCCAAGGCCATTGGAATTTGAACTAAAGTTGAGTATAATGTTATTGTATAAATTAAAAAAATAATTATAGAGACTTCTTACAAAGTTGGTCTTCATTTCAAATAGCTGAGAATATTTCCCAAAATAGATTGACTAGGCCTTCAGATTTTTTTGAATTTCAGTATTACTTTTACTGATACAGTAAAACCTGTCTAATCCAAATGCCACCGTGCAGTTAAAAGCATTCAGATTGGGAGGTGTTCGTTATCACAATAGATTATAATTATATCATTGATAATTTAGAGTTTATTCAAAGATGGCAGCAGCATTCTCAGAACCTGACAATCAGAATCTCATTAATCTTTTGTTCACGTTAGTTATTTAAACTTTATATTCATATATAGATGGCAGTTCTTAAATATATGATAGACACCAATAATTCAACATCATAATTTAACCTTTTCCATTAAACACCCTGTATCAAGCACAAAAACGTATTTACACCCTTTACTAAAATGGCAACCCCTCTATCACGCACATGTAATATATTTAAAAATATCACTTCATTTTTTAAATTATCTATTTCCGCTTTTGTCATGAATGCGATTGAACCAATTATCTAAGATACAGTTTTAAAGTACAAGGTGAAATTATCTGGAACAAAATTCCTAATACTATTAAACTTAACAATAATATTCATAATCTAAAAAGTCTTTTTAAAGATGACACATTTTCAAAATACTGATTTTGATGTTCAGCAAACGTAAGGTGATTCCATCCTCTTTATTGTACATTATTTTTTACCAATGTCTTTAATTCATGAGACAAATTATGGTTCACCCAGTGTCATGTTGTGTTAAACTTTCAAGCATTTGAAAATTTTAGATTAATTATTTTAAATGTGGTCAATTATATACCTATGTAGGTGTCACGACCACAAATATGTAAAAATGTTATTATGTTTTAATGAAATAAATAAATAAAAATAAATAAATAAAAAAATTGTGCAAGAAATGAAATTCTTCTGACAAAGTTTGACCCCCTCCAAATAAAGACAGAAAAAGTTTATGTTGATATTTTACACTAAAACTGATAGTAAAATGATTATAGCAAATGTCTACATTTATTATTAACAGTGAAATATATCCAGTATCATGAAATAACAATCAAAACACAACTGTGCGATAATTAAGACCACCACATATGCGAGTCTAAAGGGTCTTGAAGTGTTGGCGTTAGAAGATTGAGAAATGTCAAACATGATTTAAATTTTAGAAGAAAGGTTGATCTTTTGTTTCATACCCTGCTCAAAGTAAGTTGAAGTTATCCTTTTTGAAACTGTCAGTAGATTTCCAGTGTACTTGTGTGATGATAGGACCATTCCCCCTACTGTTGTTAGCTTTATCTCCAATACATATGTGTATAAGCATCTGTTGATAAAAGCACAAAATAGCCAAGCGTAAAGATAATGTCCAGTTTCGTCTATTTCCAGTGATCATGATGTATATTTCGGAGATCATACGTCTATTCATAGAATGTAACACTACTTCAGATGACGTCACACCAGAGATTACCAAGAAACACCATGACTTCTTGAAATCCCGTAGAAACAATAACCATAATTTGTTTAGGCTACGTGATCATTTGCTTTCATTGGCTGTTCGTTGTGATGTGTCATACAGATGAATATCATCAGACATTGCCAGAATCTTGCCGGAAACTACCTATTAAAACTGAACATTATCTTTACTTTGGTTTTGTGTCCGGTGTACTCATTATTTCATTGAGCCTACTATCAATGGGGACTGGACCTGGCTATGGGTCTGTGGAGCAAGATCACAGACTCCTTTCCTTCAATCTTCAAATGTTAATCTTTGTTTGCAGAATAATGCCTCGACTTACGATTACCCCTGCTGGTAAAACTGCTATCATCGGTCTGTCATTGGCAGTGTTTGCAGTGGGACTACTAGCTGCCTATTTGAGACGACGTAAAAATAAATGGCCAAGGAAGAAAGAACTGACAGATGTGAAAAGCAATGGCCAAGTTAGACCAACACCAAATATAGATCTAAGGGATGGTAAGTTAGTAACAGTTTTGGCCATAAATAATTAGTCATAGATTTGCTTGAATGATATAAATGCCTCGTTTTCATACCCCTTAACAGTCAGTCCTCTAGAGGCAATACATAACATTAGTTATTTTGGAAAGATTTAATTTAATCCAAGATATGTATACCTCGGAAAATATGTGTATCTCTTAAGTAACACATATTTGCCAATGGATAAACCCAGTATGTGCCAAACCCTGAAGAAAGTGATACAGAAAAAGCCATGACAATCCTTCGCCAATATGTATATTTCAGCATAGTATTTTCTTAGAACCTCAGTAAGTGTCACTGTGGGATACACAAGAGTTGTTTAATAAGGGGGAGATATCAGGAGACACAGAGGGAGATATATGTCAGTATCTCCCACTCACCTCAGATATCAATTATATTCCTGCATGTTATTTACCTATAACACTACTAAGTATAGGATACATACAAAATTTGTACTGGCATATTTTCAGGCACAAGTACGATTCTTCATCACTGGAGTAGAAGTTCAACTCCACGTCTCCATACAACATCGTTATCTCGCTCTCAGTCTGGCTCGGTAATCTCGGCACTGGCGGCCAGTGATCAATCCTCGGATGCCACTCTCATGAATGAGGAATGTGACGTTAATGTTATCAGCCCATACCAGCTTGTCAATTTAGGTAAGTTTTACACTTTATTACACATCTCAACTTTGGAAGCAAAAAGTCTGTAATAGAGCATTTTACACTATTCTCGTGAATTTCATCAGCAAATACCAGCTTATCTGACAAGTTTAAGCCTCAAACGCTACAAAGCAGCATGACATTTGATTCTCATTACCATGCCATTTAGGCCCGGGCATTTAGGCTAATTGAAATACGGAAAATTTATTCCATATTTTGTTATGTTACCACCAAAAAGTGGTGACATATTGCTATGTATGGTCTCCGTTTTTTCTTACGGTGGTTGGTGGTTGGCGATGGGCGTCTGTAACAAATTCTTACAACTTACAACTTCCAATAACTTAACTTTCACGTTTTCAGAAGTTCAAATCTGACTTTATTTGAAGATTTGACCTTCAATGATTTTTTCAAGGTCAAAAAAATGTCAAAAAGGTCTTTTTCAACTTGCTCACATCTGAATATAGATTTGAGTCAATGACATTCTCAAGGTTAAAAAGGTATTATTTCATCTTGCTTCAAATTGACCAATTTTTTTCAAAATCATCTCAAAGTTCTCAAAAGTTCAAATCTAACTTTAGATTTTAGATTTTAGAAATTAAAGATGTAGTGCAAATGTCTAATTTTCACATAAACTCTCTTCTAGTGATCAATTTATGTTGTATGGTGAACCTAGAAAACTTTGTTGAACCAAAAAAGCAGTTTTAGCCCAAAAATATTTGCCATTTTGATGCAGTGGAAAACATGTGTTAGTATAAGTAATTGCATCTTATTAAATTGTCTTGGACCATGCTGACTGTACTGGTCTATGTTTCACCATGCTGTTTATATTCACTCTTTTTTATCACACCATCGGTAGGATATAGTCGTCTTTATGATCGTTGTTGTGATCATTATCATGACCGCGTTTATATTTACTCTTACTGTTTTTGTTATGTAGGAATGGATTCACTTATAACTACAATGGACTACTGGAGTGAAGCTCTTGAAATGATGTCAGCTGGTAACCATGGCAACCACTTAGATCCACTTTTCCCAAATGTAAGTAGCTGTAGTAACCAGATTGGTTTACCTGTTTGAAGCATTAGCTGTCAATCTCTGATGGGAGAGTACATACTATACTTCCTTGTGTGAAATTTGGATCAATTAAATCTGGATTTATTCTGACTTGTTTGATCCATTTTTGTCTGGTTTTCTCATCAGTTAGGAATAAATACAGATTTTTATTATCTCCGGCTTTATTATGCTCTGGCTGCACATCACTACCTTTACGTTTATCATAGGGTCCCGATATGACATCAGGGCATGTTCACTGGAAAACTTTCTTTCCGGGTCGGTACATCCTTGGCCCAAGAGTAATTCATTGCATTACATTATGATCTGCTATGAAAGCAGTGAAGGACCGATCTTGAAGGATGGGGTCCGTAGGGGGCAGGGATTTATTCCCAGATCTAATATTGAAATCACAAGGATTCCAACAGTATAAAGCCTCAATGAATACTGGATTATTAGTTTCACCATAAGTGGTGTAATATTGTTATTGTCTCCAACATTTTTGTGAACAGTGTTTGGCATTTGGTGTTCAGCTTTCAGTGTCTGCAACAAATGCTGTTTGGTGGTTGAGGTCTGTAACAAATGGTGTTTGGTGTTAGACATTTGTAACAAATGGCAGGTGGTGGCATTTTACATGTTAATGCCTTGTTGACTTATCTGTGTTAGCATTCTTATTTCAGGCTACATTACATGTCCCTGATGATATGGTTGAACATTTAGAAGACTTACTTGCTAAGGCACAAGGCATCAAAGAAGATTATGAAAGGCAAATGTTACATAGGGTGAGTCACATTAAAGATTATGAAAGGCAGATGTTACATAGGGTGAGTCACATTAAAGATTATGAAAGGCAAATGTTACATAGGGTGAGCCATATTAAAGATTATGAAAGGCAGATGTTACATAGGGTGAGTCACATTAAAGATTATGAAAGGCAAATGTTACATAGGGTGAGTCACTTCAAAGATTATGATAGGCAAATGTTACATAGGGTGAGTCACATTAAAGATTATGAAAGGCAAATGTTACATAGGGTGAGTCACATTAAAGATTGTGAAAGGCAAATGTAACATAAGGTGAGTCACTTCAAAGATTATGATAGGCAAATGTTACATAGGGTAAGTCACATTAAAGATTATGAAAGGCAAATGTTACATAGGGTGAGTCACTTCAAAGATTATGAAAGGCAGATGTTACATAGGGTGAGTCACATTATAGATGGCATTAGAAAAAGGAATGTAAGTGTAAGTCAAAGCCAAAATAAATCCTCATGATATTCAAATATTCAATGAATTTTCAACATATTTAACATACGTTTTTCTGAAGAAACTTTGATAAACAAAATTAATAGCTATCCTATGAAACACAATATGAAACTAGAGATGGTTAAGAAATATTTCAATGGTATAATTGTAAAAAAAAATGAAATTAATGTATGGAAAATGAATTTTTAAAAACAAATGGAACATGAAAAGGCTATAAGCAATTGAAATGATAAACTTAGTTGTACTGTAATATCTATAAATGAAATAAACTATATTTGAAAAGGAAAAAAGAAAAATTTAAATTGCTCCATAGCCCTATAGTCTACTAGGCAATGCGATAAATGCTATAAGAGATATGGACCACTCCTCTATACAGAGTGCTAGGATATGTAACATAACATGTAGCAATAGATGGTTAAATTTTTTTTTTAATTCTCCTCCTAGGTGAGCTCCATAGCCCTAGGTAATGCAATGAATGCCATAAGAGATATGGACCACTCCTCTATACAGAGTGCTAGGATATGTAACATAACATGTAACTATAAATGGTTAAGAAATATTTAAATTCTCCTAGGTGAGCTCCATAGCCCTAGGCAATGCAATGAATGCCATAAGAGATATGGACCACTCCTCTATACAGAGTGCTAGGATATGTAACATAACATGTAACTATAAATGGTTAAGAAATATTTAAATTCTCCTAGGTGAGCTCCATAGCCCTAGGCAATGCAATGAATGCCATAAGAGATATGGACCACTCCTCTATACAGAGTGCTAGGATATGTAACATAACATGTAACTATAAATGGTTAAGAAATATTTAAATGCTCCTAGGTGAGCTCCATAGCCCTAGGCAATGCAATGAATGCCATAAGAGATATGGACCACTCCTCTATACAGAGTGCTAGGATATGTAACATAACATGTAACTATAAATGGTTAAGAAATATTTAAATGCTCCTAGGTGAGCTCCATAGCCCTAGGCAATGCAATGAATGCCATAAGAGATATGGACCACTCCTCTATACAGAATGCTAGGATATGTAACATAACATGTAACTATAAATGGTTAAGAAATATTTAAATGCTCCTAGGTGAGCTCCATAGCCCTAGGCAATGCAATGAATGCCATAAGAGATATGGACCACTCCTCTATACAGAGTGCTAGGATATGTAACATAACATGTAACTATAAATGGTTAAGAAATATTTAAATTCTCCTAGGTGAGCTCCATAGCCCTAGGCAATGCAATGAATGCCATAAGAGATATGGACCACTCCTCTATACAGAGTGCTAGGATATGTAACATAACATGTAACTATAAATGGTTAAGAAATATTTAAATTCTCCTAGGTGAGTTCCATAGCCCTAGGCAATGCAATGAATGCCATAAGAGATATGGACCACTCCTCTATACAGAGTGCTAGGATATGTAACATAACATGTAACTATAAATGGTTAAGAAATATTTAAATTCTCCTAGGTGAGTTCCATAGCCCTAGGCAATGCAATGAATGCCATAAGAGATATGGACCACTCCTCTATACAGAGTGCTAGGATATGTAACATAACATGTAACTATAAATGGTTAAGAAATATTTAAATTCTCCTAGGTGAGCTCCATAGCCCTAGGCAATGCAATGAATGCCATAAGAGATATGGACCACTCCTCTATACAGAGTGCTAGGATATGTAACATAACATGTAACTATAAATGGTTAAGAAATATTTAAATTCTCCTAGGTGAGCTCCATAGCCCTAGGCAATGCAATGAATGCCATAAGAGATATGGACCACTCCTCTATACAGAGTGCTAGGATATGTAACATAACATGTAACTATAAATGGTTAAGAAATATTTAAATTCTCCTAGGTGAGCTCCATAGCCCTAGGCAATGCAATGAATGCCATAAGAGATATGGACCACTCCTCTATACAGAGTGCTAGGATATGTAACATAACATGTAACTATAAATGGTTAAGAAATATTTAAATTCTCCTAGGTGAGCTCCATAGCCCTAGGCAATGCAATGAATGCCATAAGAGATATGGACCACTCCTCTATACAGAGTGCTAGGATATGTAACATAACATGTAACTATAAATGGTTAAGAAATATTTAAATTCTCCTAGGTGAGTTCCATAGCCCTAGGCAATGCAATGAATGCCATAAGAGATATGGACCACTCCTCTATACAGAGTGCTAGGATATGTAACATAACATGTAACTATAAATGGTTAAGAAATGTTTAAATTCTCCTAGGTGAGTTCCATAGCCCTAGGCAATGCAATGAATGCCATAAGAGATATGGACCACTCCTCTATACAGAGTGCTAGGATATGTAACATAACATGTAACTATAAATGGTTAAGAAATATTTAAATTCTCCTAGGTGAGCTCCATAGCCCTAGGAAATGCAATGAATGCCATAAGAGATATGGACCACTCCTCTATACAGAGTGCTAGGATATGTAACATAACATGTAACTATAAATGGTTAAGAAATATTTAAATTCTCCTAGGTGAGCTCCATAGCCCTAGGCAATGCAATGAATGCCATAAGAGATATGGACCACTCCTCTATACAGAGTGCTAGGATATGTAACATAAGATGTAACTATAAATGGTTAAGAAATATTTAAATTCTCCTAGGTGAGTTCCATAGCCCTAGGCAATGCAATGAATGCCATAAGAGATATGGACCACTCCTCTATACAGAGTGCTAGGATATGTAACATAACATGTAACTATAAATGGTTAAGAAATATTTAAATTCTCCTAGGTGAGTTCCATAGCCCTAGGCAATGCAATGAATGCCATAAGAGATATGGACCACTCCTCTATACAGAGTGCTAGGATATGTAACATAACATGTAACTATAAATGGTTAAGAAATATTTAAAAACTCCTAGGTGAGTTCCATAGCCCTAGGCAATGCAATGAATGCCATAAGAGATATGGACCAATCCTCTATACAGAGTGCTAGGATATGTAACATAACATGTAACTATAAATGGTTAAGAAATATTTAAATTCTCCTAGGTGAGCTCCATAGCCCTAGGCAATGCAATGAATGCCATAAGAGATATGGACCACTCCTCTATACAGAGTGCTAGGATATGTAACATAACATGTAACTATAAATGGTTAAGAAATATTTAAATTCTCCTAGGTGAGTTCCATAGCCCTAGGCAATGCAATGAATGCCATAAGAGATATGGACCACTCCTCTATACAGAGTGCTATGATATGTAACATAACATGTAACTATAAATGGTTAAGAAATATTTAAATTCTCCTAGGGGAGTTCCATAGCCCTAGGCAATGCAATGAATGCCATAAGAGATATGGACCACTCCTCTATACAGAGTGCTAGGATATGTAACGTAACATGTAACTATAAATGGTTAAGAAATATTTAAATTCTCCTAGGTGAGTTCCATAGCCCTAGGCAATGCAATGAATGCCATAAGAGATATGGACCACTCCTCTATACAGAGTGCTAGGATATGTAACATAACATGTAACTATAAATGGTTAAGAAATATTTAAATTCTCCTAGGTGAGTTCCATAGCCCTAGGCAATGCAATGAATGCCATAAGAGATATGGACCACTCCTCTATACAGAGTGCTAGGATATGTAACATAACATGTAACTATAAATGGTTAAGAAATATTTAAATTCTCCTAGGTGAGTTCCATAGCCCTAGGCAATGCAATGAATGCCATAAGAGATATGGACCACTCCTCTATACAGAGTGCTAGGATATGCAGACGAATGGTTATGTCAGATGATGAAAATAGTGAAGTCGACTCATTTGTCTCCGCAACTGATGAGGTAAGATAATGTTGAAGATAGAAATATAAATCTTTTTTATTTTTTTAATTAAGGTGGCCCATAATGAGAAGAAATATTAATCTCATTGTAAACTCGTAAAGAAGCAATTTATTTTTTGCATTTTCTTCTATGTTTTGTATAGCTCTCTACTATGAATGTATACATTTAGGTTGCCGACTGACTCTTTCAAATCAACATTGCATATATGGCATCACAGCCATGCATTACATGCCCAGTCTCCTGGACCCATTAAGAGTTTTTCCTGTCTTCCCAGGTTGTCAATCACACTATTCATGATGTCACATGGTCTTTCCCATGTGCCATCCCCCGAAGGAGAAATAATTAGGTAATCTGAAAACATAAGATCAAATCCTATGCTAAGGGCTGATGTGAAAAAGACACTCCACCCTGGTGGGAATCAAACCCACAACCTCCCGATTAAATGTCAGGTGCTCTAGCACTTGAGCTATGGAGCCGACTGACTCTTTCACAAATGTGAACACCACCTGGAAGTGACCCCCTTGGCAAAGGCTGGCTCACGCCTATAGGACTTTAATGTGTGTTTGGTTCATTGCTTTAAATAGTTCTAACCTAATAATTTTTGCATTCAGGTCGCTGATATAAGTGATATAGCAGAACAGAAGACGCAGTATCAGCACCTTGTTCTTTACAAAGCTGCCCTCTTAGAGGTTGAATATGGCAGTGTCCTTTGCCGTACACTCAGGCATGTAAATCATTATCCTTTAACCCCATATGCTTTTCATAGAAAACCCAGTACCAGCACCTTGTTCTTTACAAGCTGCCCTACTGGAGGTTGAATACGGCAGTGTCCTTTGCCGTACACTTAGGCATGTAAATCATTATCCTTTTACCCCATATACTTTTCATAGCTGTAATCCACAAACAAGTTGTCTTTGTAATGTCTCTACATGATAGTATTGTGTTCATTTACAAAGAAAAAATTAAAGATGTAGACCATTAAAAACTAATTGTCGTTGTAAAACACATTAATTGCAGACATTTTGAATTTGCGTATATATTCCTGTGAATATGAAATCATGAATTAAGGATTCTGCAAATTTTTTACTGACACAAATTTAGATACTCACAAAAATTGCAAAAATGAGAATCCAAGTAAAACAAATGCACAAATACGCAAACATTGCTCCCATGAATTTTACAGTAATTCTCATGTATGTATTTTATTTTAGAACTAAGATGCTGGCCTGTGATTCTGATACAGAATTCCTTGCAAAGTTACACTGTGTTAGATTGGCATTTGAGGTAAACATTCAACTCTGACCTTCTAAATACAGGGTGGGCCAAAAAAACGACACTTTTTTCAAGATACTACAACGTTTTTATTTTCCAACCTACATACCCCAAATTTTGCTGTTAAATAGTGCCAGGGGTTCTAAGTAATAATATAGTGTAACAAGTCCTTCAACTTGGATTATTTTTGATCTAAAAGAGGAGTTCAATTGGTCCGCCACACTATTTGATGAAATATTTTAGTTTTAGACGCCTTGCTGACATAGCAGTATCAATGAAATGTTAGCTAATTTTTTTTCAACTTGTCTTGATTGCCAGCTTTAGTTGGGTGCCTTCATACAATGTCCTGGAGACCTTCCCATACCCTATACTCACTGGGGTTTGCATCAGGGCTATTAGCTTGGCGATCATCAGGCCGTATCAGTTCAGGAACATTTTGCAAATTATGCTTATATCTCATGGCACACCACATGTTTAAGTGAGACGCTGATGACTTATTTTATTGAAGTAAAAGTGTATAATTCATGATCCATGGCTAGATAACAACCTCAAGTTTCATTTGGTATGCAAATTATGATTTTGTATCAAAATTTAAAAAAAAGTTATAGCATTTTGAAAAAAAGGGGTGTTTTTTTGGCCCACCCTGTATAAACATCAAGCTGTATATTTAAATTTTATTTTCACACTTTACATGATTCGAATGATGTCAATTTCAGAACATTATTTCAACTACACATAATATAACTCTTTGGTGTACTACAAACAATGAATTCTGAAACATACATACATACTTTTAATGTGAACTTTTTTAATTAAGCAAAATATGGCAAAACCTTGTATCCAAATATCTACAGCCCACCCATTTCATGTGACAGCCTATAACCCTATATGTTACATTGCAGCAATTGTTCAAGGATGAGACCATCAGACAATGGTTTGCAAATACTGGGAAAACAATGATTGCTGATCTACTAAGAAAGGCAGAAAGGGTAAGCCATAGAAAATCTAGGATCGGAATTCTGAGGATCCGAATTGAAACCTGAAATTGTACAATGTGCAGTTCAACTTGATGGGCATCAAGCAGAATATAGATTGAATTTCTAGTACTTCCTGTGTATTTGAGACAAATATCTTTGAAAAGTTATTAACTGTCAGAAAGGGAAAGATCTTTTTATGGTCCAATATAAAGCCCCAAGATGAATGGAATTTACACCCTGATTTAGCCTCTTAATTAAACGCCCTGTGCAAAGTTTGAAAATATAATCATGCAAATATTACTTTTTATGACTTGAAAATCCATTTAAGACAATTTTTGAAAAATATGACTTTTGAAAAATAATTTTCAAATTTTTGAATTTTCCACCGTTTAAGAAATTTTTAGACCAAATACAACATTTAACACTTTATTCAAGGATCCTGAAGAGTTCAACGCAGCATTTGATGAAATGATCGACTACATTAAAGAGGAAGAAAACTGGGTTGACATCAAAACAGAACTGAAAGGAAGAGGGGTAAGTGTGGTCTTTGATTGGGCTAGAGTATTTCTTAATACAATGTCCTTGCATTTACATGTAAGGATTGCAATTTGTTTTAACACTGGTGATGTTTCGCCTTTTAAATAGATCTCACACCCTAAAAGGGTATCAGTCATATCAATCATAGAAAACTTTCCAGATTTTACCATTCCATGCACCTATTCATATTTTCGATTGCTGGCCATGAGACTGAAGACTTTTGTGCTAAAAAATTCAAGGAATTCCAATACCGTTCCCTCTCTGGTAATACATTCTTCACATTTTGCAGGTCCTAACCTACACATTCTATGACATAGTATTAGACTTTATCCTTCTGGATGCTTTTGATGATCTGGAAAACCCACCCAGCTCTGTAACGACAGTCGTACAAAATAGATGGCTCTCTAATGGCTTCAAAGAGACTGTGAGTATATGTATCTGAATACATGCTAAGGCACCACAGAACCATTCTTGCTAGACTGAGAACAGGTAGCCTCCTACTTCACATTGAGACAGGTCGTTGGTCAAACGCAGCACTAAATGATCATACATGTAAATTATGTGATGGTAACTTTGTTGAAGATGAAATTCATTTTGCTGTCCAATGTAAACATTATTCCAACTTGAGAACACATTTTTATAGAACTGTAACTGATATTTTAACACCACATATGAGAACAAACACTGACAATGAGTTACTTTTATTTATAAGCCTAATGCATTCAAGATCAATTCAGAGACAGTGGGCTGCTCTGTTATACAAAATGTTCATGAAAAGGCAATTTGACCTGGAACGGTTGACTGCAGTCTAATAATTTGCCATATTATTCCTATGTACAGTATTCATTGCAATGAGGGCCAAACCTCCATACCACCTTGTAGTCAATAATCTAGTCATCATCTTATAAGATAACATGTAAATCATTTATCATCATTTATAAATTGAATTATTGATATTTATCAATTTATGCATTATTGTACTTGTAGATGAATTGTAGTTTTATTGTTGAATGTCATGTCTATATAAACACTGTTATTATTGATCTTTAAAGTCCAGTGTCTCATAAGCCGACATCGGCTGGTGGTTTTTTTTAGAATATGTATGTATTTGTACCAAATGTAAACCACTGCCAGTGACACTATAATAAACTATTTTAATAAATAATTTAATAAATAAATAAAAGTATTTTCATTTTGTACTTCTTTGTTGACGGTGTTCGGTGGTTTTGTGTTTGGCATTCAAATTTAAGAGTTCCTCTTCCTTAACAAATGTGACAAATGGCAGGTGGTAGCAATTTGCATGTTAATACCTTGTAATGATACCTTGCCTTGTGTCATTCATTTAATTTCAAATTTTTAGTTGTAATTTTGTTGCACTTCTATGAGACTACAACCCATGTGTTAATGAGTTGGACAATACAAAAAGACATAAGGCTGGTGTGTTTTATATTTACAGGCTCTAGCAACTGCAGTATGGTCAGTTCTAAAGGCAAAGAGAAGAATGTTGAAGGTAGGTAACTTCACACTTACGCCATTTGGCCTCATCTCACAGTTCACCCCCCTGTGTGAATACTTTGTGGTAGACAGTGGATGCATAGTACACAGCATGGATACACTTAATATCTGATTTGTGCTATAATGTACTCTTATCCATTTTAAATGTTTGTGAAGTTTAAAATAATAAAATTAAATTCATATCTGCATTCAAATGAACATTTCATTTTTTGAGGAATGGAAAATTAAAACGTTGGATATTTTGAATTTTATTTGTTGTTCCTCAAGTGAAATAGCCTAAATGTCTACATTTTCAGATTCGAGATGGTTTCATTGCCCACTTTTACTCAATATCTGAGCATGTGAGTCCAGTGTTAGCCTGGGGCTTTCTGGGACCAAATCCAGCTATGAACCAACTCTGCACATATTTCAAGGTACATTTTTACAAATGTGTTTTATAGTACTGCACCAATAGCAGTTTTTGGGGGGATTTTAATGTTGTTAATTTGTTTGAAATTGTGAACTTTGCCCAAGATTTTCAGTTTTGCACAGTTTTATAGCATTTTGATAAAACTACTGATTTCACATAAAAAATCATAAAAACTTCATTCAATAAAACAATACATCTGTATCAGTTATGATGGATTTAAGCTGTTTGTTTTGATATATATATGAGCATGATAAAACCATATTCTATGGCCACTGTATGTATTGTATGGTGGCCATACTTGATAAATACTGTAATACTCCATTTGTTTAACTATAAGACTTGACATTGTAGATATTTCATATTTTTAAGTTTAACAGTAAAAGACTTGGTCCAGATGGAATGTTTGCCAAATTATCCATTCTTCCTGACAAACTTAAAAATAATATTTTTAACAGAAATGATAAGGTATTTACTTTAGTTCAAAACGGCTTCATTTCAAGCAAACGTTTATTATTTGAAATAAGTTATCTATGTATATTTTCAGGACCAGATTCTGGGCTTCGCTCAAGATATATTCAATTTCGACAAAGTTCGCTATGCAAGTATTGAACAATTAGCTGATGATATCCTCAATATTGCACGACACAGACACTCATTGGCTAGTCAGCATTTATTATGACACACAATGTAGTTAGACACATAATGGCCAGTAAATGGGGGATCTGTTGGAGTTGAAGGAATTTATTATGGTTCGTTTATGGGGTCCTAATGTACTTTATGGCTTGAGTATGGGGTCCTTAAATACCTCCTATGACAGACATGATTACTCATGAATATCACAACACCATTGTCATGTAAAATTATCCTATAAAATAGGTAATAACCATATAAAATTGGTAATTTTAATGTTGAAATTCACAGGTAGTCAAATTTACTATGAAAGCAAAATTGTTATAGTATTATTGTCCATATATGAGCTTTCAAGAGAATATGGTGTCATTGTAAGTCCATATAAGGAGTTACGAGCCACATACAATAATTTCTGGGTTACCTCGATGGATTCCCCATATTTGGTGTAAAATTAGGCAAATATTTGTAATTTTATAATTTAATTTACACTTATTCTACTTAATGTACAGAAAGTAGAACAATTTTAGTGGAACTTGTACAGAAGGAGATACATTGTATTTTATGAAAAATTCAAACTTGGTGCAATTTAAAGCTGTTTAAGTTGTATTTGTTGCAAAGCTAACATAATCAAAAATGGATACAGAACAATTTTTTGACAGATAAAAGAACAAAAACCTGAGATACAATATAAGTCACAATAATGAGAAGTTTTAGCAAACATGGCAGTATTTGAATTTATATCAATGATTTGTTATTACTAAATCTAGTATGATAAAACGTGTATATGTCAACACCTCTCTAATCCAAACACCTCTCAATGTGAACACTTTTTCTCTTTCACAATTTTGTTATCACCCATTAGATATTAAGATACCTTGAAATGTGAATACCTGCTAATCTGAACACTTTTGGCTGACTGGTGTTCAGATTAGACAAGTTTTACTGTCTATGAACAAAATTGTATCAAAATTGCACAATAATTGCTCCTCTAAATTATGGAAAATATTTATTGTACATTTTCTAGTATATTTCATTCTTTATTAACCTCTTGAATCCCAGGTTCTAAAATTGCTTTGAAACCAGGGAATTTATCATTTTTGCAAGCTTTTTACATTACATACATAAACAACAGGTGATGCTCAATTTAGTGAAATTAGTCGGTAGAAATCATTTCTACACATTTTAAAACATTTTTTGGTGTAAATTGGATGAAAATTGTCCAAATTAGAGTGATTTTAGTTTAAAATTTGGGGTTGATTTTCTTGTCACTCTGGGTAGTCAAAGGGTTAATATGGACAAGAAAGCATGGTATTTTAACAAAACTTTTCTAGATATGACTGAGCAGTAACAGTGAAATTTCACATCAAGATCAGGGCTCTCACAAGAAAATTTTTAGAACCTGGAAGAAAAAACTTGCTGCCATTTACGCAACTTCTTGAAATATTCTGTGATTATATAAAAATTGCTGATTTTCAGACATTATTTTAGAAAAATAAGAATTTGTATGGTAAGTCACACTTCATCTTAGGTTTTGAGGGTTTGTGGCTTAAAAAATGAAAGAGGAAAAATCCAAAATCAAAAAATTAGAACCTTGTGCAAATCATGGGACAGGCTAGAGAATGGTGCAGCCAGGTTTGAACATGAGAGAGAATGGTGCTGCGCCAAGTTTTAAAAGCCTAGCGCCAGGTAGCCTGATCCAGATTGCAACGAATGGAGTCATAAATATATAATTGCTTCATCTGAAACCCATTTGCTTCTTAACACAGCAGAATGGGGTTCGTGTATATAGTTGTTTTTAGTACATATTGACTATTGAGATCATGTACAATACAGGGTGATCCAGAAGTAACGTCAAAGATGTTGTAATTTCAAAAGTATTCATCAGATCTTCATGAAATTTGGTATACATGTACCCACAACATTTCTGAGTTACCATCTCAAAGATTGGAATTCAATCATTTCATTGGTTGAAATTATGGTTGCTATAGTAACCCGATATCGCATAACCCGGGGCAAATTACTTAACGTGTAATGCGTAATCTCAAAATATCAACAAGATCTGAAATTGTTATATCCTCAACATTTTATTTCACAACAATATAAATCATACTATTGCACAGTTACTAATAATAGTTCATTCTACATAATTGCCACCATTTGCAACACATTTCTCATGTCTGGATACCCATTCCTTGAACACAGAATTAAATCCATTAGAACTCATTCCTTGTAGGGCTAGTACTACGGCATTTTTCAATTCCTCACAGGATTGAAAATTATTTCCACTAAGGTTTCTTTTTAGTTCCCCATACAAATAAAAGTCACTGGGGGCAAGATCAGGTGAATAAGGGGCATGTTCAAGTTGTTGAAATCCAAGTGTTTGGACTGTGTTGCTGGTCAGGATTGCAGTGTGCGTAGGGGCATTGTCCCAATGCAAGATAAACTGCTGCAGATGTCCGGGACGCTTTTTCCTCAGGGAACGTTGAAGATCACGCTTCAGAACCTGAAAAACAAATGTTTAATGGTTGTTAAACCAGTTGTTTCATTGATTGGATTTGGATTTGAATCATGGCCATGGAGTTATAATTATATTGACAGTGAACAACATTTAAATACTTTAATTTAAAAATAAAATTCACAGTATGATGTATTATTAGAACAAATGATATCTTACCTTTGCAATGTAAACGGCATTAATTCTCTGGCCAATGGGAACAAAATGGGTTAACACCATTCCTCTAATGTCAAAGAATGTCACAACCATTTGTTTCTTTTGTGGAATTCCTGGTACTATTTTAGGCTTGGTTGGTGTTGGGGAGTTGTCATGTTTCCACGATGAACTTTGTTGCCTGGTCTCTGGGATGTAGAATGATAGCAATGATTCGTCACTCGTAATGATCTTGTTAAGAAAGTCATCTCCATCTCTCCGATATTTTGCAAGAAAGTCCCTTGAAGCCTTAACACGCCGGTCTTTCTGCTCCTGTGTCAAGTCATGCGGCACCCATTTAGCAGACACCTTCTTTAACAGACAGTTCTTTGTCAGTATCCGTTGCACAGTCCCATAGCTCAGATCGTGTTTTTCAGAAATTTGCCTATTGTCCATAACATCAGCTTCAATTGCTTTGATGGTTTGATCATCGAATGACGACACTGGCCTGCCTCCTCGCTGCTTGTCTACCACTTCATCATATCCACTGGAATACTTGTTAAACCACCTGTAAATGTTTCTCTCAGCAATGGCAGCTTTACCATATGCCTTCTTTATCTGTCTTATAGTCTCTTTTACACCTTTCCCCAACTTTACACAGAACTTAATGTTTGTTCTTTGCTCTATTTTACTCTGACTTGGCGCCATCTTGAATTGGGTGGGTTAGTGTCCTTGGTCATGTTAGTATTTGTCATGGATGATGGAAGCAATTCAAAGAAATTGAAAGCTTTTTATGAATGCCTATTGTGACATCACAACTATTACATATTTGTTACCATGGCAACAAATATAAAAATCATAGAAAACAAACAATGAACATTTTCAAATGTTACTGACTTTTTAAATTAGAGAAATTCACAAAAACGTTATGGTTTCTCTTCAATTTGCCCCGGGTTACGCGATATCAGGTTACTATAGCAACCATAATTTCAACCAATGAAATGATTGAATTCCAATCTTTGAGATGGTAACTCAGAAATGTTGTGGGTACATGTATACCAAATTTCATGAAGATCTGGTGAATACTTTTGAAATTACAATGTCTTTGACGTTACTTCTGGATCACCCTGTACATGTACAATGCAAATAAAAGTTGAATTTATACATATGGTACATCAAATTAATATTGTGTGTTACTATTATTTTTGGTACTATCTATGGTGGTAAATATTAGACTCTACAAAGCATTAACATGACAAAATGTCACTACCAAGTTAGTTATTCCAAATGGTAACAAAAGTGCAACAACATTGCCATGGTGACTGAAATTGCAAAAACTCGTAACATGTCTATATGTGTTGAGAATAAAAATTAAATTAAAATTAAATCACATGTATTTGCAATTTAAGTTCCAACTTATTTAAAATCATTTTTATTATCGCACTTTGAAAAAGTGCTATATTGTCGTCGTCTTGTGCTGTTGGGCGGGCGTGCGGGCGGGCGGGACAAAACCAAATCTTGTCATCAAAATTCCAAGAAAACCGCTAACCTGTTCAACTTGAAATTTTTACACATGCAATAGCAGACTAGTGCTAAGATCTGATTAGGTTTAGGGCATGCTGGGTAAACTATGTTGCGGCCATCTTGAATTTTTCAACAAATCTTGTCATCAAAATTCCAGGAAAACCACTTATCCGTTCAACTTGAAATTTTTAGAGATGCAAGAGCAGACTATTGCCAAGATCTGATTAGGTTTTGGGTATGCTGGCTGAATTACATGGTGGCCATTTTGAATTTTTCAATTTGGCGGCCATTTTGAATTTTTCAACTTGCTCCAAATTGACCAATTTTTTTTTTAAAAAACATCTACAAGTTCTCAGAAGCTCAAATCTGACCTTAGATTTCAGATTTGACCTTTCGTTCACTTTCAGTGGCCTTGAAAAGGTCAAAAAGTTGATTTTCTAAATTGATATTTTCGATTTAAATTTAGGTCAGCTTAATTACAAAACACTTACTGAGGTCTGAAAAAGTTAAATTTTCAAGGTCGACGGTCATCAAATTAGGTCACAAACA